GTTACTGTCCCCTTGGCTAGCTAGTTGGCCAGACTTTTATTCTGAAAACTTTTGTTGAATTCTGTTTAGAAAATTTAATTAGAAAATTAGAACTTTCCCTGAATTTCAAATATCCTTTAAATTGATACTTGAATTTCAAATATCCTTTAAATTGATACTTACATGTAACACTGAACAGTGGTTGAAAATATTTGTTGTTTTTTTCCTGATTTCTTCTTAAAAATGATTTTTCATTTTATCTATTTCAGGTCCCCAGGGAGATAGTGCACCTCCCCCGACTGCATCTGAGGTCATCGGGACAGAATCACCTGCACCTGCCCTCCCCATGCAGTAATGAACAGTCCCTTCTTCACTGTAACTCCTACCCCACCCATCCAGTAATGAATAGTCCCTTCTGTTCTCCAGTCTAGGTTATAACCTACCCATCCAATAATGAACTGTCCTGTCACCAATTTAGCTCCTACCCTACCCATCATGTAGAAATGAACGGTCCCTTCTCTAGCATAGCTCCCAACCTACCCATCCAGTAGAAATGAACAATCCCTTCTCCAGCAGTTTTAGCCATCCTTATCCAGTACAAATGAACAGTCCCTTCTCCAACATAATTCCCACCCCTCCCCAGTCAGCATTAATGAACAATCCCTTCTCTTATGTTTCAATACACTGTTGTGTACTTGGGCATGGTACAATGCTGAGAACATCTTTTAGCTTCAGGCCCCAAATACAAAATGTACTGGTACTGTACCTGAATAGAGTAACACTAACTGTGTACTTAGTTTGGAAATTAAAAGGTGCAATTGTTACCTTAAAGTTTAAAAATCAACCACCGGAAAAAGTTGAAAACATTTGTGCTAAAAACAGTCCTATCTTGTGTACCTTTCACAAATGCTGACACTTCTACTCATAACTTCTCTGTTCTAAGATGTATTTTGCTTGGTAAGGAAACCTCTGTACATACCATTATTTGTTACCTACATATAGAAGCATTAGAACTTAGAATCCCTTCCTTTATTGCAATAGGAAGAAGCCTTACTTTAGGATATAAGTTTCTTAGAACCAGGACCAATAGCTTATGAGGAGATGACAGTTTGAATCAGGTCTGATTGTTAGAAAGTCTAAGTGTTTCGTGAAGTCTTTCCTTAGTTTAAGATAGCAAGCAAAGGACTCTTCTTCAAGTGCGTGCAACAGTCATACCCATATGAGTGACAAGCTCTGTATAAGGACCACCTGGCCATTGTGGCCACGTTTTGTTGATCCCTCGAATTATTAGCCTCCGTAGCAGGTTTATAGAACTGGGGTTTTGGTGGTCTTTGGCTGTTTTCTGATTAGCCCAGTTCTAGAAATGGGGGTAATTTAACCAGGCCCGCTATGTTGTCTATATGCAATCAGAAAATAGCACATATAAGATCCCAAAGACCCTGAAGACCCCCAAAACCCCCAGTTTTTAAGGCATGCTGCGGAGGCTATTGAATTATGTTCTCATTGATTATTCAAGCATGAAGAATCTTGTCTATAGTGACAGCCTGTCATTTGCTCTGGTCACTGAAAAAATGTTGACTGTAGTTCGTAATGGCTCTTCATTGTAGTATTTGATGTAACTTACATAGTATTACTTGTTTTAGTTGGTCACATTTTCTATGTATGTATGCCACATATGTAGTCAGTTGGACAGAATGATATGTTTCTATGTGTGCAAACGTGCTATCTGGTCTCAAGTTCAAATACAGCCACCTTAGATGGTGAGAATCTGTAGGATAATTTAACAGATACTGTGCACCTTTCTGTTGTTTTGTGGTGGTCATTAGTATGGATATATTAAACATTATGTACACCAGGTCAATTTTGACTCTTGTTTTTGAGTGTTACATATTTCTGGGTGGACGAATGTTTGTTAAGTTTCGAAACGTCAGGCTATAGCAATTTCCTGTTTATCGGTTTTGCTTGCTTCTTTTTTTCTGATTTGCAAAAATTCAGCTTCTGAATCATGACCCGAATGCAGTATATTCAGGGGTGCCAGAGTATACAGTGCAATTGTACGGAATACAGCACAATCGTGTATTAGTATACAGTACAATTTTACGGAATACAGTGCAGACATAGTAGTATACAGTGCAATTTTACTAGTATACAGTGCACTTTATACTAATATGATTGCACTGTATTCTGTAAAATTGTACTGTATACTAATACGATTGCAGTGTATTCCATAAAAGTGCACTGTTTTCCGTAAAATTTCACTGTATACTCTGGCCCCCCTGATATTTTGGCCCAAACAGTTGATGAAAGCCAGTGGAAAGTGTTTGAGAAACAGTGTGTTTGAGAGATAGTACAGCACACCCCAGGGTCCAAACCCAGGCCAAGACTTACAAAAGTGTACATAATATGAACGAATAAATGTATTAAACCACTGGTTTAATACAGAAGAACAGTGTGCAGATATACATTGTACTAGCCTCTACCAGGCTCCGCGGATCGCTGGAAAAATAGTAGAAATTGGCCGAAATAAAGGGATAGTACACCAGAGAAGATCCAGCCGG